AGCAAACCCCATTGATATGGCGGCGCGGCCCAGGCCTCCACCTGCGGGTCGGCACACATCGACCCCTGCAAACTCGAAGAAAACCGGCAAGAAGCACCACCACCTGGCGAGTACCAGGCGGACCTCTGGCAAGCACTCATCTGATCAACGAGACGGGGTGGAGCTCCGTGAACTCCCAAGCCGTAGCTAATCGCTGGTGGGATCGCCGGCTTGGTAAATTGAATGAGGAGGGCGCCAGCTCTCTTCAAAGCGCGAAATCGACGTCGGAGTCGATTGGCACCCCGAAAACGTCGGTGAAGGCGAGAAGACGCCATGGGCCTGCCAGAGGCCACTTCGATCCCCAAGACCTCCAAGACCGATGCGTACACATGCCAAAAAAACGCAAATGGTAACTGATCCATTGCCCAATCTTGGGAACCCACTGGTGACCTTCATCTCGCGGCTCGCAGGTGGGAGCCCCAAAGTGCGTAGTACATGTACGCGCAGGCGGAGGACCTTAACGGATCATGTACAGATGTTGGCTATGCTACCCCTGATGGGCACAGCAATGCCATCTGCATATAGGTCGAGCGACCGCGGAATAAAGGAGGCGCGCGTCTCCCAGGAGTCAAGGAGGAGAACATCACACACTGCAAGGCGAACATGGCGAACGCGCAGCCTGGCAGGACACCCTTGCTCGCGAAGGCTGGAGACGAAAAGCAACTGTCCCATGCCAACCTCCCCTCCCCATATACATGCGAGCGGCGAGCACGAGAAGCTGGCCAGGGAAGTCGTGCACTCCCCCTGCTCTCAACAGGGTAGTCCATCGTACTTTGTCAAAGCACTTGGCGATGTCTACGATAGGTTGCACAGATGCTTCAGGCTGATCACGGCCTCCAGCCCTTGCTTGGACCAGCACTCGAGCTGCAACGTCTGTAGTAGCTCTCCTAGAGCCTCGGGCTAGACAACTCCTGTTGAGGCTGACGCATGCGGGCGGTGGCACTGGCGCCTGCGGTGGACTATGGAGCCACGAAACGCGTGAGGGGTGTGCCCAAGTGGGCGTGGCTGACGCATGCGGGCGGTGACATTGGGGGCTTCGGTGGAGCTCCCTATGGGGCCACGAAACGTGTGAGGGGGGTGCCGAAGTGGATCTGGGGCCTTCGGTGGAGCTCCCAGTGGGGCCACGAAACGTGTGAGGGGTGTGCCGAAATGAGCATGGGGGACGCATGTGGACGGTGGCACTGGGGCCTTCGGTGGAGCTCCCGTTGGGGCCACGAAACGTGTGAGGGGTGATGCTGATGATGATGGCACTGATGATGACGATGGTGGTGATGAGGGCGGTCAAGATGAGGATGATGATGGTGATGATGTTGGTGATGACGATGACGACACTGATGACGAGTATGATGATGACGGGAGGAAGGAGGAGAGGGAGGAGGAGTGAGTGACGCGGGGCGCTGTCTCCTCAAAACGAGGACCCAACACCACAGGATGGTTGAGAAAAATCCAGACGTCGGAGTTCTGGGTCCGTCTTAATATTCTGTCCCGACGCGATTCATGTTTCATGTCTGCCCGAGATCCGACGGCGCGGGAAAAATGCAACATCGTCAAAATCACGACAAGAGCCCTAGACCCCATCTTTCTGCGCCATCTTTCGAACCGAATCGACCTGTGAGGGTCCCAAGGGCCGAAACCAGGCGAAAACTCCGGCTCGAAGGAAAGTTGAGACGCCAGAGGATGGGCAGCTGGTGGCCTCCGATCCTCCTTGCCGCCCTCCTCGTTGCCCTCCCCGTTGAGGCCCCAGAACTCCGACGGCTTGATTTATTCAATGCGGGGTCCCTGGAAGTCTCGACGCATTCCCTGGGACCGGTTTTCATCCCGGGTCCTTTTTCGACGGTCCCAGGGCCCGCGGACGCCTCGAGAGGCCGAAAACGGCAACAAAAAACTCCGTCTTGATGTTTCAATTCGTTGGAATTCTGGGGATCCGCTCGAACACCTCGACGATCTCCGCGGCCGCGCCGGCGGGGTCGCTGGCGGCCGCAGCGGCGGCTGCGCCGGCGCGCGGGGCCAGCGGCTGCGCCTCGTCGCCGTCGACGCCCATGGCTAGCGCTGCTGGCGCGGACTCGCTGGTGGAGGGCCTCGAGCCCAGCGACTAAACAACAAAAACAAAAGACAGACAAAAAACAAAAAAACAAAAAAACAAAAAAGCAACAAACAAAAACACGATTTCGGCCTCCGGGGGCCCTCGCCGAAAAAATGAGGATGAGGAGGAGGAGGAGGAGGAGGAGGAGGAGGCGGAGGAGGAGGAGGAGGAGGAGGAGGGGAGGAGGAGGAGGAGAGGAGGAGGAGGGAGGAGGAGGAGGAGGAGAGGAGGAGGAGGAGGAGGGAGGGGAGGGAGGGAGGGAGGGAGGGAGGGGGAGGGGAGGAGGGAGGATTGGGGAGGAAAGAGGAGAAGAAGAGGGAGGAGGAGGAGGAGGAGGAGGAGGAGGAGGAGGAGGAGGAGGAGGGAGAGGAAAACGATTGATGTGAGGTTTTCCTTATTTTCGGCCTCGGGGGGCCCTCGCTGGGCCCCGGGTCCGTCAAAAAAACGAACGTCATTGGAAAAACACGACGTCGGGGGTCTGGGCCCCGAGATCCTGACGTCTCCATTTGTTCGAGCCGGGCGCTCTCGCCCAGCCTCGAACCCCCAGAATCTCACTGCAGATCGATGCGGCTCGACAAAAGGCGCAGAACACGGGATCTGGGGCTCTTGTTGAGAATCCTCGCGACGTTGCAACGTTGTGGCTGCCCAGACCTCCGACGTCTTGATTTTGTTCAATGCGGGGTCCCTGGAAGTCCCGACCTATTCCCTGGGGCTGGTTTTTCATCCTGGCCCGTCTTTTGACGGCCCCAGAGCCCGGCGAAAGCCTTCAGAGCCCAAAAACGGCGAACAAAACTCCGTCCTGATGTGTTCAATGCGTTGGATCTCTGGGGGCAAGACTTCGGGGGACCCCGTCCCGAAAAGTTCCATGCACCGAAGGTCGGCGGCGAGCCCGGGGGGAAATGAGAAGGGGCGGGCCTTCTCAGAAGGCTCGGAAGTGCCCAAGCCTTCTCAGAAGTGTTGTAAGCCCCCCCCCGCAGACACAGAAAACCTCTCAGAAGGCGCGAGGCCTTCTGAGAAGGTCTTCTCCTTCTCACTTCCCCCCCTCGCCCGCCGCCGACAAGGCCCTGGCTTGCACCTGCGCCGGTCCTGGACGGGAGCATCCCGGGCCAAGGATCGGCGCGCGCGCCCTCCCGCTCAACAGCCACGAGGGCGCATGCGCCGACCCTGGGCCCATGAGCTTGTTTTGCTTTATCCTCTGGTGCGTAACGTTCCGACCCAACAAACAAAGCCAGAGATCCAACGCATTGAAAACATCAGGACGGAGTTTTGTTCGCCGTCTTCGGGCTCCAGAGGTGTTCGTCGGGCTCTGGGGGGCAAAAACCGGCCCGGGATGGAAAACCGGTGTCAGGGAGTGGGTGGGACCCAGCATTGAAACAATCTAGACGTCGGACTTCTGGGAACGACACCACCCCTCCAGCGGCCCTCCATGTTGCGCTGCGGCCCGTCGGGGGCCGTAGCGTCTACCTCGCAGAACGCCCGCCGGAGGCCGAAAACGGCGAAAAAACGCCGTCCTGATTTTGTGAATACGTTGGATCTGTGGGGGCGTCGGAGCTCCAGGCGGGCAAGGTGTGGCGGCGGTCGGCCTCCCGGGGACCTCGCCAGGCCCGGGGACCGTCAAATCCGCCGACCCTGTCGGCGTGTGCGAGGGGCTTCCTCGTCCGTTCCTCGCCGCCCCCCCCTTCTTCCTTCCCCCTTTTTTCTTTTTGGGCCGTACCCTCCTGCCGTCATGCCGTTGTCGATTCGAAGGGAAGCCCCTTCCCTTTGATCCCTTCCCGGGGGGGGGGTCCCGGGGGGTGTGTGTGGGTGGGGGGGCAGATTCGTTTTTCCTCGGGCGGCCTCGAAACCTCGAAAACACTCCAAATGAGGTCCGAATGCCCAAGATGGCCCCCGAGACGGCCCAAGAGTGCCCCGAGTCGCCCAAAGATCGGCCGAAGACGCCCAAGATAGCCCCAAGACCGTCCAAGAAGCCTCCAAGACGTCCCAGGCCCCCTCCAAGAGCACCCCCAAGAAGGGCCCAAGAGTCCACACTCATTACTTTTCCATCGGAAACTTACATTTCTAGCATATACGACGTTTCGGCCTTCACGGCGTCACAGACAGCTTCGTCTTCAGGGTCGACGGCACCGGCCGTAAGGCCTTCGCAATAGTCCTGGCCAGCCGCGAAGGGCCGGCGCCCACGCGGTCGGTCCGCCGGCGCGCCTCGCCCGGCCTCGGGACCGTGGAAAAAAATACCCAGGGCGAAAGACCGGCCCCGGGGGAGTGGTGCAGACCTCCGGGGCCCGCGCATCGAAGAGATCGGAGCGGACGTCTGGGAGGGGGGAACGCGGGGGGGGGGGGGGCCTCAAGCGCAGAGAATCTTCGCCACGAGGAGTGCGCGGGCGACCTCGCGTACCGAAAGCCAACGCACTGGAAGGTGAGCGACCAGTGCGAGCTGCCGAGGGGGAGGACAATGTAGGCCCCACGCGGAGAGGCAAGCGGAAGGCACAGTGCCTGGGGCCGGGGGTGCGTCAGGAAAACGGCTCGGGAGGAGAGAAAACGGTCCCGCGGAAGGGGTCCAGACCTCTTGGGGCCCAGCTTGCGAGGAAGTCACGACGTCGGAAGCGACGGAGGAGCCAGACCCCCGACGTCAATGTTTGTCCATAACGTCGACCCCCAGAGGTCTCGACCCATTCCCCTAAACTAGTTTCACATCATGAGTCGGTTTTTGACGGTCCGTGATTTTCATTCATGACTGCAGGGGGTATGGGGAGGGAGAGCAGGAGGAGGTTAGCAAGGGAGAGGGGTAGGAGGTCCCCTCTCCGTTTCCGCCCCTCCGCTTCGCTGCCCGGCTCTCCTCCCCAGCCTCTGCTCCGCTCGGTCCCTCCCCGCTCCTGGCATTCCCGCTTTCAGCGACGCTGGTGCGCCCTCGGCTGAACGCTTTCGCTCCTTCGACCTCATACGGTTAGCGCCTGCGGCGCAACCCGCGGAGACAAAAAGAGGGGCGCGAGGCGCAGCTGGCGGACGAAGACGGGGCCGAGGCGGTCAGCAGTGCCCTCTGCCAGCGCCTGTGGCGCAGAGCTGCTCGTGGCGCTGCACGGAGCAGCGGCGCGGCAGCCCCGCAGCAGTGCGGTTTCCCTGCGAGGGGAGCAGGAAAAACCACCCTGACGATAAGCACCCCTACAAGAGAAGCCATTTAGTAAACGCACCCAAGGAGAGAATGGAACAGGGGAGGGCTGTTTAGTAAATGCCCAGAGCCGTTCAGCAAACGCCAATTATCGGGGTCGGGGTGGTTTTTCCTCCCTTGACTGCGAGAGGCAGGTGCGGGCTGAGCCCGCCCTGTGCAGTGCTGTGCAGGTGGCCGCCAGGATGGAGCCAAAGCTCAGGGCAACCCCCTGAGGGCCAGTGGGTCCCCCATGGCCGCGGCTGGCACTCAGCGCAAGAGGCGAGGGAGGAGGAGACGGTCGTACAGTCTGATGTGAAGCAAAAGGATACGCACGAGAGCAAACTCGAGACCTTGGGCAGTGCGCCTGGCACTTCTCAGGACTTCTCCAGCGTGTCCAACAGGCTCAACACTTTTCGTCTCGGTTCGGCCTGCTGCGCATCCTCCTGCGTGTCCAGACTCTGTTCGACCGCGGGCGCATCCTTCATCGTGTCCAGCAGCAGAACCGTTTTAGCATTCGGAGCATCGTCCTGCGTGTCCAGTCTCTGTTCAACCGTCGGCGCATCCTTTACCGTGTCCAGCAACAGAACTCTTTTTGGCAGCCTGACGGACTCGTCCTCGGACCCAGGGGCAGCATCATCGTCGGTTGTCGTGGCTGCACTTTCTTCATCCTGCGGCGCATTCAGCAGCAGGCTGTCCGAGTCGTTCTCAGCACCGATCGTTTCACTATCATCATGGGTGGCGTTCGGGTAGCCGTAAAGTTGTACCCCCACGCTTGTCGTGACTGCCTTCTCTTCGGCCTTCGACCCGTCCAGCAGCACGCCATCCGAGTCGTCCTCGGCACCAGTGACATCGTCATCATCATCATCGGTGGCGTTCGGGTAACCATGAAACTGAGGCCCCTCACTTGTTGTGACTGCCGTAACCCTCATATGCACCCCGTGCTCCATGTTCTTGCGGACGTGCCTCACATACTTGGTTGACCTCTGCAAGGTGAGCTCGACAGGCTCGCCCCCAGGCCCCTTGCTGGCGGCAGACTCCAGCACGCTTTGGACCAAGTCGGCAAACTCATGGGCGGTCTCGTACAACTCCCAGGAGATGCCGTTCACCTCCACGATCTCGTCGCCGGGGGCGATCGAGCGATCCCGGTGCCTCTCGTTCCACTCGGACACGATGCCCTTGGGCTTGACCTTTTTGATCTTCATGGGCCCGCTTTCACCGCTGTCGGTCTCTCTGCCGTGGACGATCTGCCATCCCAGGAGCGAGGTGGGATTGCCAACCTTTGGCGGCGCGCAGAGGGGGGGAGGGGGAGGCGGGAAGGCTTCTGAGAAGGAGGCTGTTTCTAAGAAGGCGCGGGCCTTACATCTGCAGACAAGGCCCGCGCCTCCCAACAAGCAGGGGTGCTTCCAAGAAGTATTCCACCCATCCCCTCTGCGCGTGGCCGAAACCTGGTCGAACTCCAGCGTGACCAGGTGCTGAGGCCTCTGCCACGCCACGATGTCCTGCACGGGGTGCACGGCGTCAAAGGCATCCTGTAAGACGAAGCCAGGACAATAATAAAATCGGGTGAGGATAAATCGAGAATCTCTGGGATCTGGCGATTCTGGAAGATGTCTCGGGCGCCGCGGCCTTCTCAGAGCGTTCCAGAACGCTCTGGGTGCCATCCGGAAAGCTCTGGACGGGAGTTATCCTCGTCCTAGCCCCGTCCGATCCTGGACCTCTCGCGGTCTTCGAATGGAGACGAGCGCCGACCTCTTGGTGGCCTCGACCGCACTAGCCTTCCTGTAGTGCTGCCTGAGGGTCTTCTCGAAGGTCGAGGAGCTGTGATGAAATACGACGTTGTCGACCTTCATGATCTCGTCACCCTCTAAGATCAGCTCGTCCGGGTGCTCGTGATTCCACGCCGCCACGGAGCCATGGCGCTCGATTCTGCGGATCGTGATCGGCTTCCACTCCTCGGTCATGCCCAACTTCCAACCCATGACGCTGTCCAAGGTGCTGGACGACAGGTCATCCGGCATGGGTAACGTAGCAACGAACTCTGCTGCGTAGGTCTTGTTGTGCGCGTCTTCCCGCTGCTGAGCAAATTTAGAATGCTCCCATTTCCTCGGCCTTTGGAAGTAGAGCTTCAATACATCGCTTGCCCCCTCCCTCTCACGGCGCCCGGCGTTGAACTGGCCGATGATTCGCTTGATAAACATCTCCGTGTTCGCATGCCACTGAACGTCGTTGACGCGGACGATCTCGTCGCCCACGTGTACCGCCTTGTCAGGATTGGCCCGGTTCCACGCCTCTATCATGCCCGTCTTCTGCACCCTGAACACCGTCGCGGCCATAAAGTCCGCGTCCCGGTTAAGAACGATTCCCATCTTGGTCCCAGTCTCGTGCGCTTCGGTCATGTTCAGCTCCACGACGAATTCTGCCTCGTACTTCTGGGCGTGCGCCTGCAAGCGCTCTTCGGGAGACAGGGTGACCGACACCCTCGGCCTGGCCTCTGAGCATCATTTATCCGACCCTATCCCCAACGGCGTGGCCTGGGCCCCACCGGCCGATTTACCCTCCTAGATAAGGGATATCGGCCGTCCGTCTCCTTCGGGCTTCGGGGGCACATCCCCAACTGGGGTGCTGAGACGACGAAGGCCTGCATTGGGCTGGGGATGGGGATAGGGGCCGGTGAAACGGTACCGAGCCTCGTTCCTGTCCTCCTCGCTCGACTCTTCTGGCTCCGGCGCCAGAGCCTCGTCCTTCTGGCCCTCCGAGCTCTGCTCCTCCTGGCCGTTCTCCTCCGGGCTCGCCGCGTCTGGGACCCGCTCCACTGGGCCCCCACTCTCCGAGGCCCAGTCCCCGTCGAGGGCCTCGCTGCTCGCCGCGAGCGCGGCGGCCCTCGCCGCGAGATCGTCGATCTGGATCATGGACTCCCGCCTTCCAATCCTGGCCGCCCTCGCCGAGACGGAGGCGATGCCTTCGAAGTCGGGCTCCGCCTCCGTCAGCTCATCCAGATTGAGAACAGCGTGGCCGTACATGCTGTCGCGGCCAGGGAACTCGGGGGCGTCGCCGATCGTCCTCCGTGTCTCCTCCCTCATCTGAATGGCGTGGGGTCGCACAGCAAGCTGCCCCAGCAGCGTCGCGGCAAGCACAGC